ATCTAGGGTTTCTCTCGAGCTTGGTGGTGGCGGCGTTTGTGGCGGTTTTTGGACCGGTGTTAGGTTTTGTGGTTAGACGGAAATGGAGGCGTTCGGTGGCGAGGAGGGAGGAGATCAAGAGGTTGTTGGTTTTGGCTTCGGAGAAGGCAGCTAGGGTTGAGCTACAAGCCGCTGAGGAATATGGGTATGGTTATGGGTATAGGTATGAGTCGCTGAAGGAGGAGGATGAGGTGTTTGTTGAAACACCGGCATCATCAGCACCACCACCAACAATTTCAACATCATATTCTGGTTCACGGCAATTGCAGTACCAATGTGCGGTTTGCTCATCTCCAACCTCTACTCGGTGCTCCCAATGTAAAGCAGTTCGCTATTGGTATGATGATTCATAAACTCAATCTCTCCTAGAAGTTTATATCTTATCTGTTCCTTTTTTGCTGGAGTGTATGATGAACTAGTTGAGATTAAGGCATGGTCTTGTTGGTACACCTTTTTTTCTAAGGAACTTAAATTAGTAAATATTAGATTAGCAATATGGATAGTGAGGATTCATATAGCCTGTCCAGCTAGCGTAGGGTCGAAGCTTAGCCTTTCTTGTTGTTTAGTTGAAACTAGATCATTGATAGACTTGCTGGGGATTGGATGTTGATTTTAGTGAACCATTTACTAAAAGTTGCAACCTTGTTGAAGGGGTTTTCAATTGCTTCATCCTTTTTTAGTTCTGGTAGTATCAAGAAGAAAAGAGGCATCTGATGAAAAAGGACACTTTCTGCAGTTGATGACATAGTTTCAGTTGTATAATTGGGCTGCTGTTCTTCTAATGAAAACTGTCTTCTGTCACACACTAGAATCAAATGGGAACAAATGAGCTGCTTATGGTATATGGTAATTGGTGACCATTTTGTGCCATCAATGAAAGCTCTTCTCTCTGTGACCGACTGCTGCTGAATTCTTACTTAGACAATACTAAGAGAGTGACATATTGCTGTTCATTCTGATTCATCATTATACATTAATAGTTAACTAGTACGGGCGAAATTTATGGTTTCCAAAAAATAAATTCTTTTTTTTTGTGATGGATGAAAGAGTCATTGCTGATCTAGAGTTGAAAATATTTTTCTTTTAGATCTTTTGTTTCCTTCCATCTCCTTATTATTAGATGAATTGCCACAAGAACCAACTTAAGATTGAAGATATCATTTGTGATTATCTTCATGCTACCTCATGAAATTTATTTGTATAGGCGAATTAATATATGTCAGTAGAGCAAAGCTTAAGCTAGGCTCATTGCAATTTGGAAGTAATGCTCTCATTGACAGGTTTATTTACAAGAAGAATGTTGAATTGAGTAAGCTGACTTTTAAAGATAAAAAAGGGCTGATAGATGTTTTCAAGACTTTTTACTAGTTTGATCAGCTTTTGCTACCCTTCAATGGTTTTTTCTCTAATCTCTTCCATGTGTACAATGGATTTGTGTCTTATTTTATGAAAAATGTAGGGAAATGTAGTTATAACAGGTCATTTGTTAAGGCTCTTTCATATTGCAGGGGCTAGCCATTAGTGCAGTTCCCCTTTTCAATGTATTGATCCAACTCTTCCAATAATAGTGCTTACTGTAAGTTAGTTATGCTCCCATGTTCAAAATAAGTAGTAAGAGTGGAAATCTAAAGCACCTAATTCATGTTTAGGTTCTAACTTCATAAGTTGAAATATATACATCCCATTTAGGATGGATTTTTGTGTAATTTTAATTTCTTTAAAATGATTATCAAATGCAAAAAGAATACATTCCGGGATGAGGATAGAGCGGACAAACATCATTCAAATTTGATCCATTTAATGGGTGTGGACTTTTTGTTTTTTTGATGACAAGGGAAACCCGCAGCCGCTACCATTTGGGTGCGCACAGGGTAAAACCCCCGCTCCTATGCAATAGCTCGCAAACCACAGGAGAGGTAACCCGCGGCAAGCCTGGTGCGATGAGCTCGACCCATAAGGCAAACCCCTTGCTTTCGCTGGCAAGGGGTTTCGAACTTGAGACCTCCAACATGGAAGTCCCAAGCTCAAACCAATGGTGTGGACTTCTGAAATTTAATGTAAGGGGAGGTAAATAGTGTTGCATTATTAATTTAGAAGTGCTTCAAACATTTGGAATTGCAGCTAAATTTGGATGAAAGTGAGGTGGAAGTGTTTCTACTAAATCTGGAAGGAGGAGGTATGAGATGTGGAGTTCACCTCTTACCATGTGTTGCATAGACCTTTTGCTTCTTTATGTATTATTATTATGGTCTCAAGATTTCTTTTTCTTTTATAACTTAAGTCTTGTTGTATCCTGGCATTTATATCCGTATTTCTATTAGTAGTCCTAAGCACCTGAGACTAACAAGATTTTCCAGTGTTCTTTCTCAAACATTTTAACTTCATCTTTGTGTTGTACGCCTTTTGTTTCATTTCCTTCATCAGATTTTTGCTGTGCTGCTTTAATCATTGGAGAAAGCTTCATGTTGGATAGTCCTGCATTATTCTTTCTTCCTTTGTCTGTTTGATTGCCTTCTTTTTGGGTGGGGTTGTGGAGGAAGATATTGTTTTTACAGTTGAGAAGACAATTTTTGGATGAGCATTTATGTTGATGCTAATGACGGTGTTTACAGCTTTGCTCTTACTTTAATGGTTTCGAGAAATAAATTTGTCGAAAGAGTTTATGCTGCCATTTCTTGCATTATTAGTACTATGCACTCAAGATACCGCTTGTATATTAGGTGTCTTGTCTCTTATTTGATAGCTATCAACTTTAATTTTCTTGAAGCACTAAAACACTCATATCTACATCTCTAATATTCCTATATTTTGTACTCATGTCAGCTCTGGCAAATGTCAAATCCTTCATTGGAGACAAGGTCACAAGGGTGAATGCCGTCCAGTTAGCAACTTGGATCACCTCAATGATGTTGAGGCAAAATCTCATCTGAAGACGTATAAGCAGGAATCGGATGGAAGTCATCTTAAGAGCACTGAGGTTGAAGGGAAACGTTCTTCAGAATCAGGCGATGCTTCCCCAGAGGAAGCTGCACTTTTGAGATCCAAATACTTTGCAACATCTGATGGAAAACATGACACAGTTGGACAGAGTCTGACAGATTCAAAATGTCTCAATTTGAACTCCAGTTTCGTGCTTCATTCATCTTCATGTGAACATTTGGACCTCTCTACTTCAAGTGGATCTTCTGTTGATCATTCTGCATCTGATTCAAATGACTCTGATGCTTCTGACAGTCATAGGTCTGCTGTTATTGATACAGTTAAGATTCAGACTAATCATTCCAAGGTAGAAAGATTTAAGCCATCCTACACAGAGCAACCCCAACTGGTACAAACTGCAGATAATGATTCCACGTCTGGAAAATATACTCACACCAAGCCTAGCATTCATGAGGACACGCAGTCTAAATATTGGACTTCATCAACAAGTTCAGGTACTGATGACTCCAGTGAATCTTCATTGACAGCGCCGTCTACACCCTCATCTGGTTTTTGGGAAGGACCAGTTCCTTATACTAGATCTAGGATTGGTTCACTTGATAGTATTGCAGATCCTCCTTCCAAAAATGCTTGTGACATCAAGATTTCAGACTCTCAATCAACTTCATGTCGGCCCCCTGAAATTGCTAGACCTCTTATACCTGAGGCAGGCGAACAAGGACCGAACTCAAAAACGAATCTGGAAAATCCAACTCCAATTATGGTGGAAGTGCTGAAACCAGTCAATCGAGCTGAATCAAGATTTGAAATTAAAGACCAGAAAGAAAGTACCAGGTCATCAGCTTCGCGGTCTGTAACTTCGGATCAGCTTGATGTGCATGGCTCCCGTGATAAATGCACATTGATCTCTGAGGAAGGTAGATACTCCTCATCTAGTGCTTCTGCTAATTTAAAGAAGCACGATGGGTTGAAAGTTAGTAGCTTGCGATCCTCAAGCCCCAGCAAGTCTTATCGTGGCGTTGAAGGCTCTACCAGTGCTCTACAATTGTCAAAAGATAGACAAAAAGGATCTTTTCCTGCCAAAATTTCTGATAATATCTCTTCTAACAATAGGCATGATATCCAAAATGTGAAGTCAGCAAAGATCAATGGCACTCAAGTGGCCAGTGCCTGTTCGGCAGAGTCTAGTGCTCCATTACCAAATGCAAAGAATGGCTTGAAGTCATCTGTTTTAAAAGTTGTTGATCAGCTCAGGAGTTCAAAGCTGACACGACTTAATTCTCTAGGGGAAGAGAGTGATGTCAATGGAAGATATGGCAACAAGGTATGCATTACTCTAGCTTATCTGTGATTTTCACCTGTAATGCATGTAAGATTATAGAACACTGTATTCATCAGATATGTTTCTTTTCAGGCTCTATTTCCTTACGAAAGTTTTGTGAAGCTTCATAACTGGAAGAATGAATTGCGGCCATTTGGCCTTGTAAATTGTGGTAACAGGTATGTGGCATGAGATTTAGCTAGTTTTGGACTAATTGTGCCTCGTATAACTTTCTTATCCACGTGTTTGGATTTTTTTTCTTAACATTCTGATTTCAAGTGGTTATATCACTTTATTGGAGTCTCCAAACATGCATTCCCTTTTTAGGAGTAAAAGTTTCTCAGCCATTGGTTGTTCAGTCTACCAAGAATTTGGTTGATTACTATGAGGTTCAAAATATATGAGAAACACTTTGTATGATTCATGATGATTGACAGTGTGACGTTCAAGAGCCTTTTTCTGTTGAGATCATTATTGCATAAATTTATGATGTGAAACTATTCCTTAAGCAAGGCAGCCGATAAGTCATCGAAGGGCATGTGTGAATAATGGAATGGTCAACATTACTCATTTTAAACTCTCCCACAGTGATATAATATCTTTTCACAAATTCTTGAGTTGAAGAGTCCTTTCTTGTAAATATCTTCTTAGTGCAGTTTGCTTTGGGGCTTTCAACTAATATCTCGATGTGGTGATGTTCCAAAAGAGAGGATGTTGTGGGCCTAAATATACCTGGAATTTATGATGTTTTATGCCCTCCTTAAACACGAAGATTGATTGGCTTCAATGAAAATAACATTGTGAAAAGACAAGGGAATCAGATATTAATTGACTACTTTAAGAGGCTTTAGTCAAGATTTAATGGCCGAATATTCAGATTTCTTGCTGTCCTATTTTCCTATATTTTGCTGCCCAGTTAATGTCTCAACTTGAAGATAGAAATTCTAAATCTATTGTTGTTTATTTGGCTATTCCCTTGTGTAAGCAATTCTGGTACTTGCTAGGTGGTGAGATACTCATCAAAATCTCAAATATTTGTGTATTTCTTCATGCCTAATTTTTTCTGCAATGTGCTGCAGCTGCTACGCTAATGCTGTCCTTCAGTGCCTGGCATTTACACCACCACTTACTTCATATTTTCTTCAAGGGCTCCACTCTAAGACATGTATGTCCACTTCTGTTTATTAGGTTTATTTTTAAAAAAATCATCATTCTCAGACCCCAGTTCGAAATTAAACTCACCAGTTTTCCCTCTTTTTATATGCTGCTATCAGGTGAAAAGAAAGGGTGGTGCTTCACATGCGAATTCGAAAGTTTAGTTCTAAAAGCAAAAGATGGGAACTCTCCCCTATCTCCTAGTAGTATAATTTCCCATCTCGAAAGCATCGGGAGCAATCTTGGTAATGGTAGAGAAGAAGACGCTCATGAATTTCTTAGGTATATTTTCTGTATCTGTGGAGCCTGTAGATGTGCAAGTATCTCTTGAAGTTCTAAGTTGTTTATGTCTGTTTTCCTAACTCAATAGGTATGTAATCGACACAATGCAATCCATTTGCTTGAAGGAAGCTGGGGTTACTGCACCTGGCTCTTTTGAAGAAGAAACGAGTCTCATTGGGCTTACATTTGGGGGCTATCTTCGTTCAAAGGTAACTGCTGACTTTTAATAGTTGTTAAATGTAAGCTTAATATTTCTTGAAAAATTTCTGTACTGATTTCTGAAAATTCAACTGGAAGATTGAGTGCATGAGGTGTGGGGGAAAATCTGAGAGGCAAGAGAGAATAATGGATCTTACTGTTGAAATAGACGGAGATATAGGCACCTTGGAAGAAGCTTTGAAACAATTTACTCATACTGAGACTCTAGATGGTGAAAACAAGTACCGATGTGGCAGGTTCGATCCGATTGTTCCATACTTCATTATTTTGATGTGTTTATGTTATCCTCTGAATTCTTTTCCTTTATATTTCATTTGGGGGTTATCTCTCACTTTTCTTTTATTAGTGGGTCTAGATACTTTGCGTGCATTAATGTTTCGATTCAGTGTCTAATGGTAGTGTCATTCCTTGGAATTAACTGGGTTGATTAAAATTTCATTGATTTGTTTCTTTGTTTTTATCCATCTTGGAAAATACGATGCTATGCCCAAATCCTTCTCATCTCTCTCGATCTAGAGAAAAATGTATACTAATTGCATTGGACATCTTCACTTCTAGAATGTCCAGTAGTGGTATATGAAATTTCTGTGTATTTGTAATTTGTTTGGTTATGAGCAGGTTGTTCGACTCTTGTGCATGCATGCCATTTTCATTGAAATGCTCAAGTAAAATAGATTTGCAGCACATTTTTGGACTAAACTTTTGCTGCATCTTTCAGATGTAAATCATATGAGAAGGCTAAGAAAAAGTTGAAAGTGGTGGAGGCTCCTAATGTCCTCACTGTTGCATTGAAGAGATTTCAGGTACTGTTTTGAATGAAGTGTTGTCTCCTTCAGTTTTTGATAGTGATTGAAGGAAATACTTCCTTGTATTTTCATTTTGTTTCCAATTGCTCACTGTCTGTAGTTTTGCAGTCAGGTAAATTTGGGAAGCTAAACAAGACAATCAAATTCCCAGAGTTTTTGAACCTGGCACCATATATGAGTGGGACAAGTGATAAGTCACCAGTTTATCAGCTGTATGGAGTTGTGGTTCACCTGGACGTAATGAATGCTGCATTTTCTGGTCACTATGTGTGTTACGTGAGGAACTTTCAGAATAAGTGGTATAAAGTTGATGATAGTTCGGTATGTCTCCTACGGAGCTTTTACTTATAATTCACATTTTAAAGCTTATTTTTACACATCTCATTATCTTCTGAATTTCTTCCATTGATTGTATAGTTTTTTTTCTTCATTTCTGGGCTTTGGGTATTGGTAAGCTTATGAGAAATTAGGCATATGTTGTGACAAAGTGGTTGTTCCTTTCGGCTTAGAACTACTAAAAGTGCTCTTGATGTGCGTTAATGTGTTCTATGATGTTGGAGAACTGTGATACTCCATTTCCTTGCGATTCTGCTTCATGCATTATTGCACACAACATGATGTTTCTTCCATGGTCTTTTGTGAGGTTTTGATGTGGTCTTTGTCATATTTGTAGGTAAAATCTGTGGAACTAGAAAGAGTCTTGTCGAAGGGAGCGTACATGCTTCTTTATTCAAGGTAAAATTATAGACACATCTCCTTCTAGTTGAGGTATGCATTCTTCTATCTTTTTATTGATTGTAGCTGACATTTTCGTTTTCCCCTTTTTAGGTGCTCGCCACGGGGGCCGAGGATAATGAGGAGTTTGACAATTCCTCGTGATCCAAGGAGATCAAAGCAACCGACTTGTAAATCAAGATCCCATACAAGAAGTCCATGGGACTCTTCTCATGGCGATTCAACTAGTAAAACTTGCAATGAATGTGCTTATCCTAGTCATACAAGTGTGAGGCCTATTAGGTCAATATTTGAGGAGGACACTTCGAGTGAACAGTCATCTTTCTTCTCTGAGCTTGGTTCTTGCAGTACAGACAGCACTAACAGGGATTCAACGAGCACAGATGACTTAAATATTGATATATTTGGCGACTCTGGGGTCTGTTGGAATAGCCTCTGGAGGAGTTCATCTGATTCTGACACATCCTCATCCTCATCTTCTCCTTCCCCTCTGTACTCAAGGCATTCACCCCTTGCTAATTTGGACCGTTATGCTTCTGCGCATGAAGAGACCAGTTGCAGTGGCAACCCAGAAACAGCTGGGGATGGTCAGGGTTTTTGGACAGGGTTACATGATCGTAACGGTTATACTGGCATTCCAGAAACCAGCGGAAGGACACCTCCTCTCTGTCCCAACCCAACTAAACATTGTAGAAAAGTAGTTAGTAGTCATAGTAGTAGCAAGACCGACTCCAGTAGATTAGGTCGGGTTAACCCTTGTGACAAGTCGAAATCTCCTGTAACTTGTAGAGATCGATGAGGGAAGAAGGTGCCTTTTGGACATCGGTATTATAAAGTATTTTTGTATTCTAGAGGGAGGGAAATAAAAGAATTTGGGAGGCACAGGGGTTTAGGGAGTAGTTGTATGTATTATAATACATTGGCTTTTAGCTGTGTTCAAAACAACAAGGGGCCATAATTTTGTCACTCTCTTCCCCTTTAATATAATCTATTGTCCATTTCCTGTAATCCATTGTTTATCAAATGTAAACAAGATACATATTGACTTTTGAAGTAAAAGATCTCTACTATCATCCTTGTTCAACAACGCTCCTTAACACAGGCGATTCTACGCGACAACGGGACATCCCCTAGGTGGGGACAGAAATTGTTAAAGGGAAGAATAGATGGGGAGGAGGTGAGGTCCAGTTCAACTTCAACCACTTTGGTTTGGTTCATCTCACATAGACGATTTTGTATTAAGGGGCCTACAAAAGAAGGTTGTTAAAAGATTGATTTTTGACATATGATGGGCCAAAGGGAATGGGATAGGAAGAGAAGAAAACAAACAAACAACTTGGCTGAGCATTAATAATATATTGTCACCTACACTCACAGACTCACAGTACGTACTTTGGGTTATATACTGCTCTACTTTGACCACATTTATTCAAGCCACCACTCATACCAAACTTTTAACTTTTGCTTCAATCCTAACTAAGTGTCAGAATCCACGTTTTTTATCCAACTTAGAATTCACAGTGTTCAATAAATTCTGTATTGGTTGGTTGAGTATTGTCCTACTTATTTTTTTTCTTCTTACAATTGAGGGTGGGGGCAAGGGATTGTGAAATGGAGAGTCGAATTCTAACCAACAAGGTGAAAGTTCTGATAGTCAATCAATTAAGCTACTAAGATTTCTTGCTCACTTATCCTTTCATATTAATAGTCGTAAACATTATATTTGTAGTTTCTTATTCTTCAATTTTTTTAAAATTATATTATTATTATTATTATTATTTACTTATTAGACTATAGTACTTCCTATTTTGACTCCCTTATCATGAGTTAATTTTTCAGATTAAAATAGGTCTAAGATCAATTTCTTTATGACATTATGTATAATAAAGTTACTTTAAACCGAAATTAAAGTTGGTGGAATTATTTTAATTTACATCAAGAATATATTTTAAAAGGAGATGCATGCTGAGTAAATGAAAATATATATTGAAAAAGACTATCTAGCCGTAATGACAAAACTCCATTTTTGGTGGTGATTTTGTCTAACAAAGGACCAACAACTTTCTTATATTCTCATGCTCCATGTTTCTTTTTTATTATATAAATAATAGGCCTAAATAATATACATAAAACCAAATCTTTGTCCCTATCTTCATTCTTTCTAAAAAAAAAATTATAAAAAAAAACACTTAAATGAACACTCAAGTTCAAGGTGATTTCTTTTATTTGTCTTTTAAGTCTTGTTAGCAGAATTACTCGATACTTGTGTTGATAACAAATTCAGAAATTAAAAAAAAACATACTATTATGAATATACGGAGCTAGGATGTTTCTTTGAAAAATCCGTTGATAATTTAGGATTAATTTTAAATATTGAAAATGTTTGCAACGCAAACAAATTTTTGACAAAATATATTATGTGATTTCTTTTGTCTATTTAAGTTTTGTAATTATCTATTACATCGATCTTCAAATATATGAAGTAACAAGTAATCAGTGAAATAATTAAAATGTATACAAGCTGATCTGATCATCATCGTAATATAAAGAAAATGCTAATGTAAAGTAACAAGTCATTAATCAAATAATTGAAATGTATATAACCTGATCCAACCGTCATCGTAATATTAAGAAAGAGCTAATGTCTTTTAATACATTCAACTAAAACGGCCCCCTTTTTATATAAGTTGATGATTTATTTACTAATTTCAAAGTAGCATGCATGTCCATATCATTTCATGACAATAATCTACCTGCAGGAGATCTTGTCAGCAATATTTATTGTCTTTGCTTCATTTTATTTTTCTTTAATAACTTTTATTATACGTTTGACTTTTGCATATCCAAAAATAATTAAAGTACTTAATTTCAAATCTCCGAATAAATGTCAACAACTCAACAATTTGATATTTAAACGGTAGATATATACACTAAAAAGAAAGAAAGAGAAGTATTGAGAGCACTTCGGTGTAAATTAGTAGTTTTATCTCTGAGTTATTGATAGTTTTAAAGATATCTTTTTACTTGACTAACTGAATTTTAATAACTCCCGATTTTGCAATATGAGTGAAATACACTTCTAAATTCTCGTCAAGTTTATGTTGATTTCAACACTTCTCTCGACTTTTTATTAAGAATTTTGTACTCCTACAAAAATTTGACACCACTTGCTATCTCACAGATTAGGGATGTATCTAATTAAGTTTAGTTAGTCAATTAGAGAAATATTTATAAAGCTATCAATTATTCGAGGACGAAACTAATAGTTTGCGTCTAATTTAGAAGTGTTTTCAATACTTCTCACTTGAATAAACATGTGTAGAACTGAGGCTAAAGTAACAATTAATATGTTTGGCTTAGAAGGAAAGAAAATAAATAAGATCATATAGAGAATAAAAAACTTCGGTGTGGGTAAATTTCCTTTCATTTTTAATCAAAAAATTCGCTATTCAAGTGAAATCATCTTTCATGGTAAATATTTTAGTGAGTTTAAATTTATCGAGATTCGAGTCTCACCACGAATATAAGATTCTAGACAGAAAACCAACACGAAAAAATTAGAGACGAAAACAAATAAAGTATTCGTTTTTTGGTTTTATTCTGTTTAATTTAATTATGAAATTACAATCTCTAACACTTTTTTTTTATTACTACGATAAGTGATTTTATTAAATGAGATTCTCTTTTCAAAGCCTTAATTCCTATTAATTTCATATATCCCTTTGTACCAACAAGATAAACATATTTTTTTATGACAAGAGAAATCCACAGTCATTATCCTTTAAGTCACACGTAATAAAATTTATGTTCGTATGCAACAGCTCACAAACTACATAAAAGATGACAAGCCCAGTGGAACGAGATAAATATAAACCAGCAAAAATTGATATTAATTTTGAAAAAATGAAGATTTAATTTAATAATTGACCTCAACATGCTTCTATATTGAAAGAGAGTACTCCTTCGAGAATATTCTCAATGAGTTCAAAATCCATGTTAATAGAGTTGTAATCATCTTGTTGAAAAATATGGACTCTCAATAAGAACAAAATTAAGTGTCAATAAAGGAGGCTAAAATCAAGGGAGTGCTTCCTTCGACATCAGTCAAACTTCAATGCAGATACTAAATATCAGATAAAAAATTTTAAAAATGAAGAAAAAAAAGAAATATTAAATTGGATAAATTAAAATTATAGAGAAAGAGAATTCTTCAATTTGGGCACATGACAAGTTGGTTGTCCCATCAAACGACTTATATTGTCCAAATGAGTGTATTTACAAGTTTATTAGTACATGCTAACTAACTTTCAAAGATTTCTCGATATAATCATTCAACTAAATTATTTATATAGTAATATATAAAATATAATTATTTCAATCATTTCACTTGATGATAAAAGTTTACGACTTTAATTCATTGCATTCCAATTTTGCCATAATCTTTTTGACCAGATGTGTCAATAGAATCAATTAAAAATTATTTTCAAGTTTACACCTTTATGTATGTTTTAAAAATGAAATTATAAGAGCAATAAAAGTCATTGACCTTGTGCTTCATCATTTTACTGTATAGTATGATGTAAAATATAATTGTATAATATCTTCTAAACGCGTGCATATAAAGCCTATAAATTATGATATCTATATTGCGCCGTAAAGCAATTTTTATTAATTAATACATACATTCATTCATATAGATTAAAGTATTCAATCTCATGATTGATTAATTAATAAATAAATACACGCCATAATATTTTACTATTTATTGAGAACAAACCATTTTGTATGGTGCAAAAAAATACAAAAGAAAGAACATACTGATGAATATTTTAAAATTGAGTTAATGGAATATAATTTTTTATTATAAGAAGGGATAATTGCAAACAATTTTTTTTATACAATAAGCATTAGTTGTTAATCATCTAACATGTTAGATTAGAATGATGTAAGAAATTTATACACTATTTGAGAGTACTTTAAACTGCGAAAATTTCATAGCTGGCAAAGCACACAAAAAATGTAAATCGCATTAGGTAATTATATGTAACAAGTTCGACTCAAAAGGTATTGAAGAGGGATCAATCTCGGATCATCCAGTGGATGATCACCCTTCATAAATCAATTGAGTCATTCCGAAGAACCATATTCATATATTACTAAACAAATTTTTTTCTTATTAATCAAACATAATATAACTTTATATTTTGTAGTAATTTGGTGAAAGGTCAATGAGCTAGAATTTAAAATTTTCTTAAATTATCAAAATATATTGAATCTCAACAAGGCCAATCATTACTAGTGGACCACATAGAGAAGAATTTGATTAGAATGAATCAGATCCATTCACTTGGGATTAGAAATTTTACAAAGAAATTTATAAAAAAAGACTTACATAAAACAAATCAAAATTAATTTGACGGATAAATATTAAATGATTAAAGAAAAAGAGGGTGGTCAATGGATATAATATCTTAAAAGGTTGTTCGGTAGAGTGTATTAAAAAATAATATATCCATTAATATTGTGTATTATAGTACTTTTTTCTACCTATATATACCTAGTTACACTCTATTTGGTATTAAGATATGTATAACTAGTACATAAAAATTTATCGTATCCGTAATGTAAGGAATTTTAATATAGGCATTAGAATTATTAGAGACACAATTACCCCTCAAATCCCTTTTCACAATCTTTCCATCATATTTATGAAGGGTATTTATAAAACATTTTTTCGTTTTTGAATTATACAATGCATGTTACTTTTAGTACATCACATAAAATACTGCATAAGAAATAATCTCAATATAACTAATATAAACATAACTAATACCACTATTGCTATTATACTACATTCAGTACTATTCTTATACACTATCAATTTTGAAGTGATTTATTTAAGATAGAAGTATTGACAACACCCCTGAACTATTGACAATCTTAAAAACACCATTCTACTTGACTAACTAAACTTAGATACACCCAATCTACTACATGACATAGCAAGTGGACTCGTCTCTTGTAGGAGCATGCGACTCTTAATAAAAGACCAAGAGAAGTGTTGAAAATACTCTTAAACTTGACAAGAATTTAGCAATGTATTTCACTCATGTTACAAGATCGAGGTGTATTTAAGTTTAATTAATTAAGTAAAAATATAATTATAAGACTGTCAATAATTTATGATAAAACTAATAATTCACGCCGAACTTACCATTGTTTTCCTACTTTCTCTCTTTTTCATTTAATAGATTATCTATACTAGTCAGCTCTTGGCATTAAATTGAACTTATAGTGGTGTAAAATTGAAGTGGATGCTTCCTTATCCAATAACATTATAACACAAATCAAACTTAAACAAGATTTTGATTTCTTATTTGGATTCTTGACCCCCCCTCCCCCCCAAAAAAAAAGCCACCCCACACACCCCACAAGTGCATTTGAGATATGGGCCTTGGGCCCACAGAGTCCATCCTTCTAGACTAAAAGATGGGGGGCCAACAAGGGATGGTCTACCCTGCACTTACATTGAAAAGGATTTAGCATTATAACAAAACTCCAAAATTAATTCCATCACATGCTCACAACTCCACCACAACTACCTAACACCTTACTTCCCCATTGGTTCAAGTTTTCCCAATTCTCATTACTACCCTCTCTACCCTCCTCCTTTTTCGATTTAATCATTTGATATCTGATTCGACTAATTCAAATCTTTATTATTGGTTGTAATGAAAGTCATTTCATCCAAGGATAGTCGATTTATAATTCTATACTTTTCGTCAAAAAATGATACTAATAAAGAGGTTAATTTTTCGAAAGCATATATTATTTCACGAATTTTTCTGATTTCTTCGTGTTCTAAACCTTGTTATATTTTGAATTTTCTTCATGAAAATCTTGATTTTATTACTATAGAGAGTGTTAAAGGATCCCTATGAAGAAATTATCGATTCTTATAATTCAGACTCCACCTTACCCTTACCAGAGGAGAAAGGTTCATCTGAATCCCCTTAGATAGAAAATAACACTATTTACATACGATGGAAATTATTTTTTATATGTATAGTAAATGTTGATTTTCTTCAATTATTTTGTGTGTTTATTTCTTTATATTTTAATCACCTTAATAAAATTCTGACTCCCTCACTAATTAACTACGATCCCTCTTTCTATCTAACAAACCCTATATAACTCTACTATAGATATTTAAAGTAAACTATTACTAGTACACCAACTCTTGCCTACCCAACCCCTTTTGACTTTCTCATCGTCAACAAATCAATCCACACGTAACGCATAAGATAAAATCATTACAACCTTTGACAAATTACCCTCTTTTTTGGTTTTTCTTGTTTCAAGTTAGAAACATGAGTTAATTAAGCCTTATAATAAGTTTCTTAATTAGCATGTCTTATTCCACTTAATGACTAATTAACATACATCCTAGATTATGAGGTACTTTTTACTTGTTTTGATCAGTGATTAGGTACAAGAATCTGGTTTAACAAAAGGTATTAAACCATAATAATAAATTCATTAGTAATAAACATGTGATTCCCTAAGATTATAGAAGTGGGGCTTATTCAGATTTTGACATTTCCAACTGTCAATCAGTAGCGGAGCCAGAATTTTCAATTAAATCTCAACCATTAATTCTAAACTATGACATGTGTCTCCAATCCAAGCTAGAACTTGGGGAAAATAAAGAAAAGAAAAATGGAGAAGAGTCGAATCCGTGTTAAATCATGATTAGGATGTGTTTAGCGAACGTTCATGCATATATAGAAACGTTAAGTATCAATAACTCTAAACAGGATAAAGTTTAAAAAAAAAGGAAGAACAGAAGAAATAAGAATTAATTATCTCAAAGAAAACTTGGCATGATAAAAATAAATTCAACTTTATTATATTATAATAAATATAATATAAGATTGCTTCCATTTTTTAAAAGAAAAAATAATTAATGTTTGTAATTTTTTTTAAAAAGTATAATATGTTGGTCTAACATACTAAATAATTTGACAATTTCAATTAATCCTTTTTGGAGAATTAGATAGTTTTTCAAAGTAGACTTTCTATTTTGGCAGATAATACTTATGGATGAAGCCAAAGGTTGTTGAAAGCTATCTAAATCTTTGACATTTTTGGAAATTAGACTAAAAAAGAAGAATGAGAATAACGTCAAAAAATGTGAGCTAAAGATATTGAATTGTGAATTGAATAAATACAAGTACTCTACTTCCTATTATTATCATGTCAATGCCAAGATAACACCAAGTGAGACATCATTAGATGTCATTTAATTAGTAACTCATCTGACCTCACATATATTAAGGAGTGGCAATTACCATATATGAAGGTTTGTACTAAAGGACACCTAAATCCACTAACTTTAATTAAACTTTTACATTTAGAAATTGAGATCAACTATATTGGATCCTACATTTTCATTTGAATTCATTCACATCATTATGATAAACAAAATTTTAAAACTAATGCTATTATATTCTCTATCAAGTTATATTTTCAATTCATAAATGTCATCTATAAGATTTTATTTCTTTAATTATACTTATCTTTAACTTTATAAGTTTATATCAAAAATTTGTAAATTTTTCGAAATAGCTATTTCATACGATTTTTTATTTATTCTACCAATCAATAGATTGGAGGTACATATATAGATCATCCCAAACAACTTTCTCACATTTTATCCTCAAAGTCAACTACATACACCCAGAGGAGTATCCAAGGGTCACCGGGTTCACGTGAAGCCATGCTCTCCTCCCGAGATCATATATAGTAGTATTATTATATTTTTTTTTAAATATTGAAATATAGATATCTGAATTCACACTCGGAATATCATATAATGCGATAATGATTGAGTGCACCTCTCTACACGTAAGGTTAGAGATTTAAATTTTACATTAATCTTGTTTTATTTTTCTTTCTAAAATTAGATAACACTTCTCTAAGTGATAACTGGTATATATAAGAATTAATTTTAGACCTATAATAATAAAATTTTAACAATTTTTTGTAATATAAACTTAAATGTCAAATCGATCAAATTTTATCTTAAATCAATCTTTTTGTAATAGTGCACCATAATTTCAAAATTCTGGATACACCTCTGCTTACATCTTCTGATAAATTAATCTTTTCAAATAAAATATATATCTAAATATAAATTCAATATATATGTATATAAATAAAAATTATTTTTCTTACTTCACATACTACAATTTTCACTTAACATCACCTCTCTCTATCTTAGTTGTCTATTTTCATAATTTGAAAAAACACAAATATTTGAAAAGTATGGCGGTGAGTAGAAGTTCAAGCTAAACCAAAACACCATGTGTGGAGCCTACTCTTTTTCCACTTGAAC